AAGCCACCACCACTGTGTGACAAGATTGACAAGATGAGATGCCTGATGTGTGTCTGTTCTCAAAGCCCTGGCGCCTAGTGAGCTTCCTGAGGTGCCAAAGAGGAAGGCCAAAAAGTTGAAAAGAAGAAAGAGAAGATTTAGACTTTTTCAAAGTTTAAAAACTGCCACCGAATTCATGGTTCACCTTGTGCACATTGTAGAAGTCGAAGCATGTGTAAACACTGACACAGCTGGACCAGATGTGGTGACACACACCTGCAACCTCAGCTAAGAAAGAGCTAAGGCAGGAGGATCGCAAGTTCAAGTTTAGAATGCACACACACCCTAGCAAGCTCCTGTCAAAACCCAAACAACATAACTATATAACCACGTCACTGAACTAGCTATTAAAGCCTCTTTGCTGGACACGATGGTGCACATGCAATCCCAGCACTTGGAAAGCAGAGGCAGGTGGACCTGTGTGGACATGAGACTTGTGAGTTCTAGTCCAGCAAGAATGACACGGTAAGACCTTGTCTCAAAAAAAAAAAAATCATTGCACTTTTAACTTTTTGTATATACTATGTATGCATGATAAATTTTCTTTAGAAAAAGATACAAAATAACAGTCCCTACTTCAGGTTTAATATCATTTCCACTTTGTTCTATGAATATGGGCACCATAATCTTGGCAGTGCTTTGGGCCACTATATGTTCCTGGTATTGATGAATACTTGTTATAAGAAAAGGTTCATCTTTATACTTCCAATATCTGGCATAGATGAAGTAAATACTACAGTTCATGTGGAATGAGTGAATGAATGAATGAATGAATGAATGACCATGCCCTGTGACTTTTGGAATTTGGCATCCCAGGGCTGAAGTCAACCCAAAGTATGCATTGTGTGAACTCCAACCCTGTTCCTCCCTCCACCCAGCCCACTGTCCCTAGCCCCTACCCCAGCAGCTCTGGATGCTGTCCCGGACTTCAAGACCCCTGCAGTCTGGGGAGAGATCACAGAAAAACCTCAGTGGGGCTGAGGACCAAGGAAAGAAGGGAGGCAACCCAACCCGTGGGGAGATCCTGAGAGGGGCTGCCTGTGCCCTGAAGATCACCCACATTTATGTGGGCACAGAGCACCCATCCCAGGAGCTGGAAGCACTAGGAACTGACTATGGAGGATACCAGCTCAGATTCCTGCCTGTAAGTAATGGGGGAGTGACCAGAGGGACCACAGGCTAGGGGACCAGGGCTCTGGGTCACTTACCAGGAAGCTGCTGGGTGACATTGAGTTCTTTCTGGTACCTGGGCTGCGTGTAGGACCAGATTCGCACCTCAGCCCCAAGACCAGCCTCGAAACAGTCAAACACTGCAGAACCCTATGAGGAAAGGTGGTACAGGGCTCAGAAGCCAGGCCAAGATCTCGGGCTCATGTGGATGGACCACTCTGCTCACCCACTGACTATTTATTTTTTTTGGTGGGGGGGGGCAGTGTCTCTCTGTGTAGTCCTGGCTGTTTGGGGAATTTGCGCTGTAGACCAGGCTGGCCTCAAACTCACAGAGAACTGCCAGCCTCTGCCTCCCAAGTGCTGAGATTAAAGGCATTTGCCGCCACCACCCGGCTAAGTTCCCTTTTTTGAACAGGTCCCCAGTTCCGAAGCAAGTGTCTGCCTGTGTCGCAGGCTTAGGATTAACCAGACCATCTACGTTGCTGCCTATACCTGTTGTCATGGCCACTTGGCCAACGGGGGAAGCTGATTAGATATACTAGTGCAAGCACCTCAGTGTGCTCATGGTTGCACTGTGGAGTCAACTCTGCAGATTAAAAAAATGTGTGCACATATGTGTACATGCACGTGTGTGTGTGAGTATGCATGTATGTGTGTCCGTGTGTGTGTGTGCATGCGTGTGTGTACATGTGTGTGTGTGCATGCGTGTATGTGTGTGTGTGTGTGTGTTGCTGGGAATCAAACCCAGGACTCGGAGTATGTTAAGTAAGCGCTCTATCACTGAGATACATTCCCAGCCCTTTATTCTTATTTTATAAAGTCATCAAAAGTTAAAAAGGACTTTTCATGAAGGAAGTTATAAACAGCCAATAAGCATGTAACAAGTGACTTCGTCAGTCATTAGGGGTATGCAAATTAAAGCTGTAAACCAAACACAGTGGCATGTACCTGTAGTCCTACACAGGAGGCTGAAGCAGGAGGAGTTCAGCCTAGACTACACAGCAAGATTCTGTCTAGTTAAAAACAAGGTCTGAGAATGTAGCGCAGTAGTAGACAGCTGGTTAGTGTGTACAAAGCCTTTGGTTTTGTCCCCCACATTCACACAACAAACCAACAACAGAAACACCAGCCAGTGGGCTGCCTAGACCCCCAGCAGGTAAAGTGCTCGCCACCACGCTAGACAACCTGAGTTCAATCCCCAGGACCTTTATGGTGATAAGGAGAAAACCGACTCCTAAGCTGTTGTCTGCCCTCCATCTGAACCCCCAGGAAACATACATACACAATAAATAAACAAATACAATTTAGAAATATAAACATTACCACCACACACGTCCACACAAATCCCCAGTTATAAACCACAGCGTACATAGCAGAATGGCTAACATCTAAATTTAAAAATGCCAAGTGTTGGCAAAGATGGAAGCAACTGGAAGCCCTATTTGCTGCTGGTGAGCGAATGAAATAAAATTGTCCCAAGTCAAACATGCGATGTAGGAGTGTCCTTATCCTGATTTTATAGACAGAAAAACCACCACGAAGGCTGAGAGGGCTCATTGCTTAGATCAGACCGAAGATTTAAAGAAACACTGCCCAGGATTGTGGCGGGAATGTCAGATTCAGAATGTGGCTACTCAGCAGGAGAAGCACTTCACATACCACAGACTGACCAGGCTGCACCAGGACAGCAGGCACCTGTATCTCCAGCAGGGCACAGCGGGTAGTGGGGTAGGCCTGGAAGGAGAGCACCACCTGGGCCAGGAGAGAGGCTGTGGGCAACAAACAGGGGTCAGCCAGGTCACAGGCCGTGGGAAAGACCCTGGCAGGACACAGCGGCTGGGCCACTGACTCCTCACCGTTTCTAGGTTCCTGGAGTTCCAAACCAGAATTTTCCCCTTCTTCAGGCTCTTCCCAGCCCCCTGCAAGGAACAGAGAAGAGAGTAAAGCCAAAGTTAGACACCTTCTATGGGCTTAGATTCCCTTCCAGAAATGCCACGGTTGGTAAGCAGAGGCCTGGGAGAACAGGCTGGCCTAGGGATTCTTGCGCCAGTGTCTCCAACATTGCAGATGCACACAGAGTCTGCAGTCCTCATGCCTTTCCCAGGCACTCTCATGAGTGCACACACAGTCACAGGACTCCCCACTCACCGTGCACAGCCAAGTGCACAACCACGCGGACACAGAGGGCACAATCAGTCTCCTGTGGGCACCGCAGCACCAGCTCTGTCTGCAGGCACGTAGGCACCAGCACAGGGCCCGGGGCAGACTCGATGCTTCCAGGCAGGCAGAGCACGTCACCATCTGGGTGTGAAGGGTGGAGTGGGAGATGAAGCTGCTCAGAGCCTGGTTTGGCTTCTGACACCTCCAGAGGGCAGGGGAGCTAGCTCAGCCTCTTGAGGCCGGGGGTAAACAGTCTCTTCCCTTTCAGCTAGCCTGAAGTTCTTGCTGTTAAAGTAGCAACACTTACCCCAGAGGTGGCAGGAAAGGCCCTGTGAAGGAAGGAAAAGTCAGTTTACACCCCCAAATCTCAGCACCTTCCCTTACTTGACAACCCCTACTCCTGCCTACCTCCTTCTGGGGCTCCCTACCTTAAGCCCTTCCCTGAAGACAAGACTAATTCTTGTCCCCTTTCCATCATCCCCATCAGTACCAGACAGACCAGACAGGGCGGTTCTGATGGAGGCAGTGACAGGAGCCAGATTAGGGCTTTGAAGAAGCTCAGACTGAACTCTCAGCCTTCCCCAGTTTCCCAGGGCCCCAGACTCACTAGAGAGCAGCGTGCGGTGTCGTGAGGCTCCACAAGCCTCTCCAGAGAAACCACCACAGGGCTCCGGCCCAGTGCCAAGGACAGCAGGAACCAGGACATAGGCATCTTCCAGGTGCTAGGCAGCACCCAGGCCTGAGGCCCGATCCTGCCCCCCGGAGGGGGGGCAGAACCCCCACCCCTGCTGCCAACCAGCCCTGTGTCCCTGGGAGAGAACAAGCGCTAGAACTGTTCTCCAGCCATACTTTCCCACTCGGAGCCCGGACTCCGGGCCCAGTTTCAGCTGGAGTGCTTTCGCTTTGACTCCCAGCAGGCTGTTCCCGCCCCACCCTGTCCTGTCCCTCCCACCAACTCCAGGCTTAGGAGTCGGCAGCTTTGGACTGGGGTGGTGGCCTCTCCTCCTCCTCCTCCTCCTCCTCCTTGGCCGACACCTGGCTGGGAGGAGCCCTGGGAAGGCAGCACAGCTGGAGCCAAGCTGAATAAGGTAACTCTTACCCTGGATTTCTTCAAACACGAAGACTACCTACGACTGAGAAGACCCCAGACTGTGGCGTGCCGGCTCATGGCAGCTCAGGTGTCTCCACTTCCTGTATGACCCCGGGCTCCACTGGCCCACTGGGTTCCCTTTTACTAGACACCTCCGTTCTTCATACCCTGCCCTAGACCTCAGTGACAGTGACCCTCACAAAACAGGAGCTCTGAAGACAGTGAGCTGGTACTGAAGGGCACCAGAAAGCAGGCTTCTCTCCACTGCCTGGCCCAGGTTCAAGGGGGACAGAGGGGCAGGCAGGGCCTGGGGGATCCAGAGTTCACTCAGCAGAGGTTCCGTTGTGCTGCTGTGGGATTAGAGGAGTGGAGTGGGCATCGTGCCCAGCTGAGCTTTGGTTTTCCCTTTGCTCTCAGAAGAATCACAATGAGGTACTGGACCCCCTTGCCTCTCACAGGTATGAGGCCACAGACGAGGACTGTGAGCCGCCCTAGAATAAGCCTAGGGCAGGCCCAGGCACACAGGAGCAGCACACTTTGGTCCTTAATTTATCTACGATGGTCGCTTTTATTCATCTTTCTGGATGAAAGAAAATCCTCTCTCTCACCAAGTGGGGGGGGGGGGCACGCCTTCAACCCCAGCACTCAGGAGGCAGAGGCAGCAAGCTCTCTCTTTGTTCCAGGCTATCCAGGGCTACAGTGTCTGTCTCAAGCAAACAAAAACAAAGTAAAACAAAAAGTCAAACTCCCTCTGGATAGAGACTCCGTCTGGAAACTTACAAGGGGTTTCTCTCAACTCCACTGAGCAGAACTACCTTCAAGGCCTTGACATATAGCGCCTGCTTCCCAGCCTTGGACCAGCTCTGCCGCCTGGGCTAGAGTATATGGTGCAGGTGGCTGTCTTTGCAGTTTCCGAAAGAAAACAGAAAAATCGCCCCTCTTCCTCAGAAAGGGTCCAACTTTCTCTCAGGGACTCTGAGAGGGAGCGAATATGAGAATGAAGCTGGACAAGTTTGGGGCCTGGGGTGAGCCTTACAGTTTTGAGGGGGGAGGCAAGAAATCCCCAAAGAGTACAAGTTTGAGGCCTCATTTTATAGTTCCAGCTGTTGCTCCCTAGGCAGAGGCTACAGACAACTGGAATCGCAGGGATGATGGGTTGAGCTTTGGTAGTCAACTCTGGCGGCAAGTTCCAGCCGGTGACACAGCTCCAGGCGGCTTTGCAAGCATCGCTTAGCCCCAAGATGACTCCAGTTGGTGGCTAGGGTGGCAGGTCGAGCATCCAGCGCCCTCAGCAGGCGCGGCAGGTCACGAAACAAGCGGTAGCGTGGCAGAGTGCGCAGAGGCCGGGGGATGTCGCCTTTGGTGCAGAGGCGACTGAAGTAGGCAAGCAGCAGCCGGCGTGGGGCAGCGCAGAGCAGGGTGCGAAGGGACGCAGTCTGCGAGTCGCTGCTGCCGGCTGGGCTGGGGCCTGCACAGTTCCACAGCAGCAGCACCGTGCCCTGCTCCCTCACCACGCGCTCCCGCGCAGCCCAGAGCCATGGCAGTGGTCCAATACGTGCCACATGAGTCCCCTCCCAGAGGTCCACGATGACGTCGCGCCCGCCGCCCAGCGCGGTCCGCAGCAGTTCGGCCAACGCTCCCACCAGGCGCCGCTGGGCCTCTGAGTCCGCTGCGTGCAGTAGTAAAATTGGCCGCGCTTGGCTTGGACCTGGGGACCCGTGCAACAGCTGAGTGGTGTGTGTGTGTGTGTGTGTGTGTGTCTGTGTGTGTCTGTGTAGCAGAGGACCGGAGCAACAGCTGGGTGTATGTGTGGTGTGGTGTGTGTGTTTGTGTGTGTATGTGTGTGTGGCAGGGAGACAGATCAGCCCTTCCCTTGAGGCCTTTGGCCTGCACTCTAGAGCGTCCTACACTCTGTATTCTTTATTCGTTCTGGGAGTCAGTCCTCCAAACTGAGCCTGTTTGGGGCTTAAAGACTAATGAGGAAAACGTGCAGCTTCTAGTGCACAGCAGGCTGGATTGTAAACACTCCCTATCCCATCCCCGCCCTCGCCTCCTGCGGGCTTGGTGGTACCCATAGAACCCACACCCACAAGCCCTTTGCCCTGTCTTAACCATTCCTGTCCACTAGGGGGCCTAAGACTAGCGGTCTGAACTTTCCCCTAGTTTGATCAAGTGGTGCCGGGAATGTCTGTCTTGGCTACCCCAGGTGAACTTACCTGGCAGTAGGCGCCGGCAGAGGAGGACCAGAATTACGCCCAGTAGAATGAGGAGGCCCAACAGTGCCAGGATCAAGAGCCCCAGGTGTCTATGGGAGACTGAATCCAGCCAGGGTGAAGCCAAGCCATCTCTTCAGTGCCCAAGCTCCCTCTCCTCTCACCCAAAAACTCACCATAAGGACACAAAAGGTGCTTCCAGGCAAACTGGACATCGGACCTCCACACCTGAGAACACAGGGCCCCCACTCACGTGAGCTAGAGCAAGCCTGCCCTCCAAGGGACGGAGTCCCCAATGGCTTGGGAATTCCTCCAGCTCCAGTTTTGGGTCTTGTACAATCCTTGAACTGACACAGACCAGGCCAAGGTGGCAAATGCCAGTGAGACCACAGTGGCTCCCACACTTGGCCTGGAATGGAGAGTACAGAGCAGCCACCAACCACTGAGAGCTAGGCCTTGTCACCACGCCTCATGAACATATAGCACCAGGTTTTCTCCTTTTTTATGGGAAGGCAAAATATCAGTGTTTTGTTTTTGGTTTTTGTTTTTTTGAGACAGGGTTTCTCTGTAGCTTTGGAACCTGTCCTGGAACCAGCTATTGTAGACCAGGCTAGCCTCGAACTCACAAAGGTCTTCCTGCCTCAGGGTTTTGTTTTGTAGATAACATATAACTAGTGACCACTAATTTCAATTTGAAACACTTGGCCAAACCAAATCCATTTATGGACTCTGTGCCAGGGAATCTGTGAGGGGTGGGGTAGGATTTCTTACCAGGATGCAGCTCCCCGGCTTCAAGAAGGGAATGACGAGGTCTAAAGTCACCGGGACTGAGCCCTGGGTCTGTAGGGACAAAGATAGAATGGTTGTCCCCATATAGGCAGATCTGATAGTGTCTCATCCACCTCCATCCTACCTAGATAGAGGACCCAATGCCACCTCCAGGAGACTTCCTCGGCCACCCTAGCCAATGTTGACTCTCTCCAGATATTAACGGCTGCAGCAGAGCGCGCGCTCTCTCTCTCTCTCTCTCTGTCTCTCTCTCTCTCACACACACACACACACACACACACACACACACACACACACGGAAGGTGGGCACAGTTATTGTCTTAGTCCTGGAGCATGCGTGCATCCCTTCATTCCCCTCACAACTAAGGAGACATCTTGTCCACTGGAGAGTGAGCCGTGGAGGCTGGAGGCCTAGGTTGGGCTTAGCTGTGGCCTTTCTAGTTCCTGGGTTCGGGACTGTTCTGTGGGCTTGGATGATACCTTCTCCTTTCCCCGCCTCAGATTCTTTATTTGCATGAGGGACAATAATCTTTAGTGGGTTACTAGAAGCACTAAATGGAAATATGCAGATAGATGCTTTTAATACACTGATAATGTTGAAGCAGCTGTTATTAGGCTAAGAAAAGGGGGTCAAAGCCTGTAGCGTATGCTCTTTTACACCTCCTGGTGCTAATATAGGCTGGGCACAGAGCAGCACTTAGGAGATGTGTGCTGAACTGAAGAGACCTGATTGCTGTCTACAGATGAGACCTGGCTCCACTCCTCTCCCCTACTCTGTACCCCTCACCTGCCTGACTCCACTCTGGAGGCAACTGACAAGCAAGTAGATGCTCTAGAGATCAAGTGTTTGCTACAACCTGCTATATGGAGCCCGCAGGCTGCCAGCTACAAGGCAGCCTTTGAGGGTGAACTGTGGAGAGCACAGGATGCTGGGTTAGCTGAGTGCTGCGGTTTGGCCATTGTGGTTTTTAAATCAGATGCACAGAACCAAGTTGGCTAGCTAGTCAACCAGAGCCGCACTGAACCGTGAGTCCTTCAGCTTCCAGGGGTCTCTTGAAAGTTGGTGAATGTGAATTTTTTTAATAAAAGCAGCCCCCACAGGCCCATAGGGAGTAGCACTATTAGGACGTATGCCCTTGTTGGAGTAGGTGTGACTTTGTTGGAAGAGGTGTGCCACTAGGGGCTGGGCTTTGGGGTCTCAGATGCTCAAGTCAGGTCTAGTGTGTGGCATTTTCACTTCTGCTTCCTGTGGATCAAGATGTACAATACAAGTCTCATTTACCTCTCCAGCACCACGTCTGCTGGCACGCCGCCATGATTCCTACCATGATGATAATGAACTACATCTCTGAACTGTAAGCCAGCCCCAACTAGAAGTTTTCCTGCCAGGCAGGTGGCGGCAGTGCACACCTTTAATCCCAGCACTCGGGAAACAGAAGCAGAAGGATCTCTATGAATTTGAGACCAGCCTGGTCTACACAGCAAGTTCTAGGACAGCTGGGGTTACACAAAGAAACCCTGTCTCGAAACACCCCCAGGCAGAAATGTTTTCCTTTATAACCATCACTGTGGTCATTGTGTCTCTTCACAGCAACAGAAACCCTAACTACGACAGTGAACTTTTATACTAGTGCCTTGTGGAGGCATGAGACCTGGGAGACGGCAGCTGGGGTGAGGGTAGCATCGATATGCAACGTAGGGCAGAGGAAATGACTCAGTAACTGCCTTTGCGCGCAAGCATAAGCACCTAAGTTCAAATCCCAAGCATCCAGATTTTAAAAAGAGAGAGAGCCGGGTGGTGGTGGCCTTTAATCCCAGCACTTGGAAGGCAGAGGCAGGTGGATCTCTGTGAGTTCGAGGCCAGCCTGGTCTACAGGGTGAGTTCCAGGACAGCCAGGGCTGCACAGCAAAGCCCTGTCTGGGGGAGAAAAAAAAAGTCAGGCATGGCAGCATATTCATGCAACCCCAGCACTGGGGTCAGAGACAGGTGAATCCCAATATCTCACTAGACGTCCACCCTAGCTGAAAACAGGGAGCTCTTGGTTCAGTGAGAGACCTTGTCTCCAAGAAATGAGGTGGGAATGAGTAGAAGACCCCTGCACTCTTGATTCACACCTACAGGTGTGAATATCTATGCATACACACGCTCCACCACACACACAAACTTTGACGGTGGCAGTGCCAGCGTCTAAGGGACTGAGACTTAGGAACCCCCTCCTGCAGGACCCCATAGGTTAACAGAGGACCAGTGAGTGATCCAAGGCTGGTCAGGTAAATAGTCCATGACAGATGTCAGGATGCAAGCTACAACAGACGGCAGGATGCAGGCTATGACAGACGGCAGGATGCAGGCTATGACAGACGACAGGATGCAGGCTATGACAGACGACAGGATGCAGGCTATGACAGATGCCAGGATGCAGGCTTTTCTGCCTCTACCACCCGGGGTCGGCCTCATTGAAGTAACAGGAACATTAGGGATATGCATTGGCCAAGAGAACCTGGTGGGAACCAGAGCCCAGCTAGGCTGTACCTGGCTGATGCTGTACACCGGAGGCATTAAGGTATCGATCCCCAAGCCTGGGTCACTCCAGGCAGCACTGAACGTAGCATGTGTTCTCGAGGAAAAGTGCAGGGTCAGTTGTCGACCCTGGGTGTCCATGCTCACATTCCAGGATGGGAGAGACCCTGTTTGTGGGAGGTGATCAGAGTTGGGTGTACTGGGCCTGGAGGTCACAGGTGAGGGAGGGTGAGGTGTGGAAGAAGGGACTCCTACAGACTCACCGCTCTGGTGGGGACATTCAACATGGCTGCTATTCTTAAAAGAAAACTGAGAAACACAGGAATGGCAAGTCAGCAAGATTCAGTCCCATCCATCCCTCCCTCCGCCCACTGCCAGCCTCCTGCCCATGGCTGTACCTTAAAGCAGAGCTGGGGGTGCAGGTCCACATTCCCCAGGACATACCGCTGTTAAGAAGAGGGGAGTTAGACAGGGAGAAGGTCTCTGGGCCCCAACCCTGCCCACCTCGGTTCTGGCGGGAGGGGGCTATCCTTACTCCTTCTGATTCCTGTGCTGTGGCATTGGGGAGGGTTTCACAGGGCACGAGTGGGTCCTGTCTCTGGCAGAGGGAGGCCTCCAGTTTCAGTGGGCAGCGGAGTGCCAGAGCCATGGCCATCTGACTGTGTTGGCTGTAGTCAGTGAAGTGAACTGACTTCCAGAAGTCCGAGCCATCTGGGCAGGTGGCAGGTCCAAGGATGAGGCTCCATCTCCCCACCCCCACCCCACCCCAGGGCGCAGGAGAAAATACCAGTGCACCAGCACAATTCCAGGCTTCGCAGGGGCTTAGCAGGCGAACACTCCTCCACCCCTCCTCCTTCCTCCCTCCCTCCCTCTCTGCCCAGCTTCTTTGGCTTTATCTTCCCACCCTGGGTCTCCATTCTGAATTCCCCTACTGCCCCCTATACTTCAAATCTATGTGGGCTCCTCTCAGACTCTGAATGTCATCTGTTAGCTCTTCTTTCTAAATCCTGTCCATTTTCTGAGCTCAGCTCAAGTGCCAGTTCCTCTGAGACCCTCTCTGCTCACGACAGTGTCCCTGGGTGTCTCCTTTCCTGAGCTGATGCCCTGCAGACAGTCCTTGATAACCCTGCCTAGGTATGGAGGCTTTGTGTGTATCGAATGTCATCTCTTCTCAAGGTCACCTCTGAGCATACAGCTCTCCAAACAACACCAGCCACTTTCCTGTGAAACATTCCACTCAAGCCTGTAAACAGTTTTGAATTTTACAGATGAGGGGGGTGGAGAGGGGCCTCTGGGGATAATCCATGGCAGAGCTGGGAAGTGAGCCTAGGTCTCTAGTTGGTCTTCTCAGGCCCTGTTCCCTGGGTGACCCTCTTCCACTCAGAATGTTCAGCACTCAGGAGCTGGTCTGCAGGCTGACTGTTAGACACCGTGCCCCCCCCCCCCCCCACTCCAGACAAAAATGTCCTCATGTCACCTGGGGTCTCTCTCCATCACACACACATGGGGGGGGGGGGGAGAGGAGAATGAATGTGCACCAGGATCAATACAAACAAGACTCACAGGCTTCAGGCCAGTGCTGGAAGGGACACTTTTTGCGCCTCACAGTATCCTCCTGCAGATAGGATGCCTGGGGAGCATAGAGAGGATCAAGGAAATGGCTTTTCCAGCATCATCCTTCGGGATCTAGCTTACTGTTAGGAAGCAGCTTGAGCTTCAGGACACTAATTGGGGAGCGATGTGGAGTATGGGCAAGGCTTAGGGTTCCAGAGTACGGGCAAGAATGGGAAATGAGGGGCTGACTATTCCTGTCTCCAAAGAACTGATCCCAGCAAGAGAGAGATCCCAAGGGTCACATCCCTCAATTTTAGGCTTTCTGAACTCCATTCTTGACTTTCTCAAGGTACCCAGGATTCTGTGTTGACTCCTTATTCTGGATTCCCTAAGAGTCCACTGGTTGTCTCCTCTGACAGGTTCTTGTTTCCCAGGGCTCTGTTTACATGCTCCTTTTAGTACCTGTCTTCCCTCTAAAAACATTCAAGACTTACAAGGAGAGATGGAGAGCTATAATAGAGGCTGGAGAAGCCATGACTTCAGGAGAAACACGCAACCTTGGCTCTCAAGAACACAGTGATGGCTGGTGGCTGTTTACTCTGTGTCTGAACTGAAGCCGAATCTGGACCAGGGAAGGCAGCATCCAGGCAGGGCTGAGATGAAATGGCCTAGGACCTCTACTTTGAGCATGTGTGGCTCATAGCCAGCACCAGTTTTCCCAAGCATCCCAGTAGCCTAGGCCTTGTGGAGTCTCTCTTCAGTGCCGCACGGCTTGCTCCATCACCGAGTCATCCTCCATCCCTAGGCCTTTGTAAGCTGACTTACTGGAGATGCGGTTCCTGTGCTCACCTCTATGCATATGCAGGGCAGGAGGAATTCATAACGCAGGTCTGCAGTGTGGCCCCCAGACACAATTCTCTGTTGATAAATCACAAAAGGAGAGGAAAAGAGACACCTAAGCAAGGGCATGGCCACTGTGTGCGAGGCAGGAGGATGCTGGGACCCTGGATAATACGCCTTGCTTTCCTCCTCCATGACAATGATTTCTCCCTCTCATAGGATCTTGGTTCTCTACTCTCGCCATTTGCTTGAGGTACTCTACAAGGAGTAGGGGTAGGGAAAGGACTGGACATTTCTTGAGTTCCAGCTGTATGCCATGCAGAGCGTTAGAAGCACCAACTCTACTAAAGGTTAGTATCACCGTGAAGTCAGACGATATAGTCATTGCAGACAAGAAGCAAGCTGAGGGACCCCAGAGAAGGGCATCAGTCTCTGCTCGTGATGCCCAGCTATGCACAGTGGCATCTGTGATGTCTGGAGGGTGAAGTGAACTTCTAGGACCTGGACTGTGAGATTGGAGAATATCATTTTCTGAGGGCTAGACCAAAGGTGTGAGAGGGAAGAGCACCAAGGCACATGTGACAGTTTGCTCAAATATCAGGGGACAACCTCCTGAGGAAATAACAAAGCTTTTGTTGCTCTTTTTCTTAAGACTCATGTACCCCAAACTGACTTCAGACTCATTATATATCCAAGGAAGGCCTTGAATTTCTGGCCCTCCTGTTTATACCTCCCACCCATTTGTACAATGCCAGAGGTCAAGCATGCTGGGCAAACACTACCAACTGAGCTACGTCCCCGGCCCTAGCAAAGGTCTCTTAATTTGACGTGAATCACACCAAGAGTCCTCTTTCTTCCTGGGAATACATACTATATTCATTTCTTTCTGGCCTCTCCTCTCAAGTAACATAGCCCACCACCGTTTCTGCTTAGTCCAAAACAAAGGCTTGATGCTACCTACCTCATTTTCTAAGGAAGTTTTAGACAACTACTCTCCTTGTCTGGGTCCCAGTTGCCCTCCCCAGCCCCCATTTGCTGAGAAATTATATAATCGGTCTCTTTACTGGGCATGGAACTCTATACCTGGGTATCAAAGGAACTGTTCATATCTTCACATTCCAGGGCCCACTGGTAACAGAGACGCACACTAGCCTCTGGGCCTGGAGGAAGCGTCACCCTAATAGCCTGTGCCTCAGGCAGCAAATCAAAGGAGAAGTCAGGTCCTAGGGAGAAGGAAGACTCAGTGAGCCTGGCTCAGGTGAGGCTGAAAGCACCTGCTGATGCGCGTCATGCCTACCTCCACGCTTCTGTGAACCTGCTCTAAGAAGATGCTCTGCTCCTTCTGTGTCCAAAGGCTGGGTCCTTTTGGAGCGTGGCCCTCTGTGGGAGATGGCTGGGGAGGGGCTGGAAATGCGATGGCCTCCATGAGACAGGAAAAGGCTGCCTAGCAGCTTCCTCTGCAAGTAGAGAACAGATGGTAGACATCACTATGTTAAGCCAGGATCCAGGGCATCTGCTTTCTGGTTCTGCCTTTGAAACCTGAGAGACCACAGGCAAATCGTTCAGGTTCCTTTCGCCTCAGTTTCCCTTACTGTATATTCACCCCTTTCTCAAACTCCCTCTTGTAGCTGGAGAACAAAATAAGGGAAGAAAGGAGTTGCGGGCCAGAGGAGAGCTGTGAATAGCAGGTACCTGGGAGGAGGCCGGTGTCCTGTGCCTCCAATAGAATTCAAACTTATGAGGACTTTTAGATTTCTTCACCAAGAGAGGGAACCAGCCCCACTGAAGGCCTGTAGGAGGGAGACACCCTTCTTACCTGGGAATTCTTTTTTTTTAATTTATTTATATTTTATGTACATTGGTGTTTTGACAGCATCTACGTCTGTGTGAGCATGTTGGATTCCCTGGAACAGGAGTTACAGTCGTGAGCTGCCATGTGGGTACTGGGAATTGAACCTGGGTCTTCTGGAAGAGCAGCCACTGCTCCCAACCACTGAGCCATCTCTTCAGCTCTTACCTTGGAATTCTTGGCCCCTGTCCTACCTGGAGATGTAACCCAATGTTGAGTAAGAAGTCAATAGAAATCAAGGACAGCAATGATATTGAGCTCCTTTGTTGGCAAAAATTATGATTCAGTAAAAAAAAAAAAAAAAGAATTAAGGCCCTTCCAGGCTCAGTCAGCACGGAAAAGGGAGCAGAAAGAACTTGAGAGCCAGAGGATGTGAAGGAGCAATGAGGTCTCTAGATGTGGCATGACTGTCATGTTCATGAGCCCACTGCAACCATGGTTACCTGCACGAGACTGCACCAGGCCGAGCCAGCGAGCTCAGTCAGCTTTCCAGCAAGTGGACTCACTGATTCGACTCAGTGAGTTACAAAACAAACAGAGCAAGACATGGTTTTCTATTTGTATTGAAAGGCGGAGGCAGGCAGATCTCTTGATCTTGAGGCCAGCCTGGTCTGCTCTGCAAGTTCCAGGCGAGCCAGGACTACACAGTGTGCCTCTGTCTCAAAAAGCTGAGGGCTATGTGTATGCGCGTGAATGCGCGGAAAGATGGATGAGCAGTTCAGAGTACTCACTGTTCTTAGAGGACCCACATGGTGGCTCACAACCATCTATAACTCCAGTGCTACCGGGATTTGATGCTTTCATGGGTACTATATGGATGTAATACACATATATACAAGCAGGCAAAAAACTCATACACATAAAACAAATATTAAAAAAAAAGAAGACACGATGTGGGACAATGATGCATTGGGAATTACCCAAGGGAAGGGGGAGGAATTGTGGATGGCGATGATCGAGGTGGATTGTATGTATGAGATTGTCAAATAATAAATAAAAGCTATTTTATTTATTTTTAAAATCTTTAGGTTTATTCATTTTATTTTATGTGTATGAGTGCCTTGCCTGCACATGTGTATATGCACCATGTGCATGCCCAGTGCTTGCTGAGGTTCCCTGGAACCAGAGCTACAGATAACTGTGAGCCACCATGTGAGTGCTGGGAACCAAATAGAGATCCTATGAAATAGCAGCCAGTGCTCTTAACAACTGAACCATCTCTCCACCCCTAATGAAAAATATGTAAAAAATAAATAAGACAGGGCTGGAAAGATGGCTCAGAGGTTAAGAGCACTGGTTGCTCTTCCAGAGGTCCTGAGTTCAATTCCCAGCAACCACATGGTGGCTCACAACCATCTGTAATGAGATCTGGCACTGTATCTTGGAAAGTGTATATATAATAAATGAATAAATAAATAAATAAATCAGAGAAGAATGATTTAAATAGAGAGCACACACTCCTCCCACAAAGGTAGGTGCTAATTATAGCACTTTTTTTTTTTTAAAGACAGGGTTTCTCTGTGTGTCCCAGGCTGTCCTGGAACTCAGAGATCCGCCTGCCTCTGCCTCCCGAGTACTGGATTACAGGTGTGCACCACCACTGCCCAGCTGTAGCATGATTTCTAATGGTGAAAAATTTTAAACTAATTTTTTGTGATGTTATTTTATTTATTTGTTATTGGTTTTTCAAGACAGCGTTTCCCAGTGGTTATGGAGCCAATCCTGGAATTTTCTCTGTAGACCAGGCTGGTCTCGAACATACAGAGATCCGCCTGCCTCTGCCTCCTGAGTGCTGGGATTAATGGTGTGACTTTATTTTATATTAATTACGTGTGTGTGTATGTATATTTGTGTGTAGGTACATACAATGAGTGCAGATGCTCGAGAGATCAGAAACCTCAGATTCCTTGGAGCTGATGTACAGACAGTTGGGAACTGCCTGACATGGGTGCTGGGAACTGAACTTAGGTCCTCCACAAGAGCAACTAGTACTCGTGACTGCTGAGCTATCTTTCCATCCCCCCATAACTTCTAGTTTTGTTTTGTTTTTTAAGATTTATTTATTATACATACAGTGTTTTGCTGCATGGTCGCCTTCACACCAGATGAGGGCGCCAGATCTCATTACAGGTGGTTGTGAGCCACCATGTGGTGGCTGGGAATTGAACTCAGGACCTCTAGAAGAGCACCGAGCCATCTCTCTAGCCCCCCATAACTGCTAGTTTTAAAGTGTGTGTTCAGTGTGTGCCAAGTAAGACGATGAAACAGCAGAGTGACAATCCCATTTTACAGATGGAAAGTAACAATAGCAAGTCCCTAGCACGCACAACTTTCAGGAATTGGTACCAGATGAAAGGTGGCAGCTCCACAAAGAGACAGCTGTCCCCTGAATGTCTGTCATGTTGTGCTATCCTAGGATGCTCATGTCCCTGTTGAGGTTAACAGGACAAAAAAGCGTTCCAGTATAACAACTGACACTTGTGGTTCTGCAGCTGTCCCTAATCCAAACCTCCGCTGAGAACGGCTCGGAGGCTGCTCTTCCTACCTGAAGGACGGGACATCAGATGCAGGCACAAACAGCAGGGCCAGAGCCAAGGCTTTGTGGCCAGGAGGGTAGGGCAGGGAGCTTGAGCAGAACTTCCTGTGTAAGACAGAAAGGGAAGTCGGCACAGTGGCACATGGCTGTAAGTCACTCCTTGGGAGGCTGAGACAGGAGGATTAAAGACGGAGGCAGCTGTGCGGTGGTGGTGCACACCTTTCATCCCAGCACTCAGGAGGCAGACGCAGGCGGATCTCTGAGAGTTTGAGTTTGAGGTCAGTCTAAGCTACAAAGTGAGTACCAGGACAGCCAGGACTACACAGAGAAACCCTGTCTCAAAGAAAAATAAAGACAAACAAACAAACAAATAAATAAATAAAGGATGGAGGCTTTGTATTACACGGTGAGACCCTGCCTCAAAACAAAACAAAAAGAGGAACAAGGAAAATGGTAGGGTCTAAGGAGGTCCTGCCTGTCTCCTCCAAACTGGATTTAAGGCTGGGCTCTGACAAACATTCAAGAACAAGCTTGGGTAAATTATTGGACAGGTGCCAGATTGCTCTTCCATAGAATGGGGTTGTTATAAGGACCATGTAACATAATGAATGGGGAAAGCTTGATAAAGCAGAATGTACCATAAAGTATGAAAGAGTATTCTTCCTGATCAAGTGAAGGGCCAGAGAGAGGAAGAGCCAACTTGTACAGAATGCCTAGAGGTTAGCCAGGGCGTTTATCTTATCCTCCCCATTGACTGGAAGCAACACTGTCCCCATCACGTGATCATTTCTCCGCTGCTCCTGTGCTCAGAGGCCATGGCCAAATGGCAGAGTGAAGAACATTGCCTGAGTATTCCTAGAGTCTGAGGGAGAATTACAATGCAAACCTAGACTGGTCCTCCACTTTCTCATTGAACCTCAGGTTAGAACCGAAATTGCCATGGATGGCTGAGTGGGACCTGGAACTCAGGGGAGCACGGGAAAGAGAAGCAGAACAAGAGCTAAGACTCACCGGTGGAACTCTTATCCTGAAGGTACAGGGCCAGCGGAAAGAGAAAGGAGAGAGGCATCATTAGAAGGGACTTGTATAAGGAGCATTCTCCCTGAACTGTGTCAATCATCCAGTTCTGAGGCCCACAGATGTCCATCCACGCCAGCTGTTTTCTTCTCAGTTCCACCCTGCCAAGGACCTCAGCACACCGGAACCTTACCAATCCCTTCAAGACCACACAGGGAACAATGAGGCCGCCACTAGAGCACAGGGATTTCAGAGGTAGGAAAAGGCAGGCAGGAGAGAAGGGGGAGTTCTACCCTGTGCCAAGCAAGTGTCCCCCTACTTAGCAGCAGGACCTTACCACACGGAGGGCCAGCAGACAGTGGCTGATCCGGCGTGGCAGGTAGGGACAGTCAACCTCAGCAGCAGCAGACAGGCTGAAGAGCAGCAGCAGGAGAGGCAGAAACAAGGCTGCCGATCTGGAGCTCCCCATGAGCTTCTGCAGGATCAGGACACAGAGACCATGGCTTTGTTGTCTGCAGGAGGGCAGCAGGGCCTGGCCCTGGAGTTGTGAGGAGCACAGGGTACCAGCAGGCGCTCTCACCTAGCCCTGCCCGGGATCCACCCTGCCCTGAAGCTCCTCCTCTCTCCTAACCAGCAGGCTAGGTCACATTCCTTCCCCTGAGCCAGGGCACTGATCAATGCTGTTCACTTGTTTACTGTTCTGTAGAAAGCGGTTCGGCTCTCCCGTCACAGGGGCTCCTGGTGTGGTGGAGAGTTAATAGGAAAGGGACCAGCACCCTGTTGTGGAGATGCACCCGTTTCTTAACCCCTCCTACTCCTCAGACACTGCAGATCCGACACACCCATTAGTTTGCTCTAGAACTTGAGTCTGCCATAGACAGTTACACATCTTTGATTTTGAGAATTAACTATTCTGCACTTATCTACACTGAATGCTGAAGATAAAGAAGTAATTGGTCCGTCATTTAAAGCCAGGCCAAAAAAATAAGTGAACATTATATAACACATGTTTACATATGTCCCCATATGCACTCTGGATCCCCACCTGGCTCCCCATCTGGCTGGCTTTAAAAAAAAAAAAAAAAAAAAAAAAAAGCCCAGCTTTCTTTAGCTCATTAGCCCTTTCCAACTCTTCCCGACTCCAAAGTAGTTTCCAGCTTCAAGGACTAACTAAATAATATGGCTTTGCTCAGGAAGCCCCAGAACTGATGGCTGAGCTCTGGAGCAGAGGGAGCAGCCCCATGCTCTGACCTGGTTTCCTGCGGTTTCCGGTGCAGGAAAGAGGCTGACAAGGCTCCAGGCTTTGTGGGGACCCTCCCCATCATCTCACGGCTTCCTCTCATTCGTGGAGCACTGGAGTTGCGTCAGCCCTCCCCTTGGCAAAGCCGGCGATGGAAGGAAAGCGCCGGCGATGGAAGGAAAGCGCCGGCGATGGAAGGAAAGCGTGGGGCACGTCCATGGGGTCGGAGCCTCTTGGTATTGCTATTGTCTTTCCTTTTTAAATTAACTAGGAAAAAATTTTAGAGGTGTGTGGGTGCGCACGCGACTGTGCATGTGTGTGTATTGTATGCACAGGCGGGCGGGTGCCCTTGCCCATGCAGGCTGTTGTGGAGGCCAGAGGCTGACACCAGGGTGTCTTCCGGAGCTTAGAGTTTGTTTCAGCTAGGCTGGTGGGGCAACAAGGCCCTAGGATCCGCCTACTCAATGCTAGCACTACGGGCATATTCTGCTATGGCCTCGTGTTATGTCAGTGCTGGGGACGAGAACTCAGGTCCTCATGCTAACACAGCCCCATTTACACACTGCGTCACCTCTCCAGTCCCATGATTATTAGTATGACTCTCACCTATGCTAGGATGGCCTGAAATTCTGGGTAGCCCAAGGATGTCCTTAAACTCCTGATCCTCCTGTCTCCACTTCCCAAGGGCTGAGATTACTGACATGAACCACCATATCCAGTTTCTGCGGTGCTGGAGGCTGAATCCAGGATTTTGTGCTAGCATCTCTACCGACAGAGCTACATCCTAGCTCTAACAATTTGTCCTTCTGAGATTCAGTCTGGACCAACCTTCAGAAACATGACCGTAGCCTTCTTTTGGTCATTTCTAAATCATTTGGCCCACATCTGAAGTCCCCAATCTACCTATGATCCTAAAAGTATCCTCTTGCTTTTGCATTCGTAATTTCTTGTTGTTTTGCTTTTTTACTTGTTTGTTTTTTGAGACAGGGTTTCGTTGCATAGACCTGACTGTCCCAGAAGTCACTCTACAGACCAGGCTGGCCTTGAACTCACAAGAGATTTGCCTGCCTCTGCCTCCCAAGTGCTGGGATTAAAGATGTGCGCCACCACCATCCAGTATAATAAACACTATTTTTAAAAGGAAATAAAAAGAGGGCTGGGGATAAACTCAGTGGCAGGGTACTTGCTTAGTGTCTGTAAGGCCCTGGGTTTGACCCTAGTGCTGAAGGAAGGAAGATGGAGAGACCCGTTTGTTCTTCCCCGGTGCCTAGCAGTGACTGTCGGGAAGCAGGTGCTCCACGGATGAGTGAGCATCAGTCAGGATACATTTCATCCAAGTAGCTTATCTACTTCTAGTTCACGAAGCAACAGCCATAGTTGATCCCTCTAAACACCCTGTGAGGCAGGTAAGTGAGATTTGCTTAACTTCACAAGGAGAGAAATAAGGAAGCAGGAGAGTGATTTAGTCAAGGTCAAAGTCTGTGGCCCAGGGAGCTGCGCTTGTGGCAGCTGAGAGAACACTTGCCTAGTAAGTATGAGGCCCTACTTAGTCCCTAGGATAGCAATAAAGTGTATAAACAAAAGATAGTAAGATCCCTGGCTAAAATCTCAGCCTAATAACCACTGCTCATAGTACACAACCTTTCTTGGGGTTTAAACCATCTCTCAGGCCGGGCGGTGGTGGCGCACGCCTTTAATCCCAGCACTCGGGAGGCAGAGGCAGGCGGATCTCTGTGAGTTCGAGACCAGCCTGGTCTACAAGAGCTAGTTCCAGGACAGGCTCCAAAGCCACAGAGAAACCCTGTCTCGAAAAACCAAAAAATAAAATAAAATAAACCATCTCTCAAAGGGCTCTCCAGTGACTTCACTCTTGTCTTGCTGTAAAGACCAGGTGGCCACCACAACTTTTGACATCCATACGGTGTTAAGAGTACATAAAATGCCTTTGCAAGGGCCAGAGGGATGCTGCGGTGGTTAAGAGCACTGGCTGCTCTTTTAGAAGTTTTCAGCATCATTCTCAGCCCCCACATGGCAGCTCACAAACATTTGTGTCTCTAATCCCAGGGGATTGGTTGCCCTCTTCTCGCTTTTTAAGGCATCATGTTCACATGTGGTATACAAACACACATGCTGGCAAAACATTTATGTATAGAAAAATTAATTTAATTAAAAAAAAATCTACACCAGGCATGATGTCACACACCTTTAACCCCAGCACTCAGGAGGCAGAGGTAGACTTATTTCTGTGAGTTCAAAGCCAGCCTGGTCTAGAGTGAATTCCAGAACAGCTAGGGTTGTTACACAGAGAAACCATATCTCCAAAAACAAAACAAAAAATTAAAAAATTTAGAATGCCTTCATAATACTTTGCCTATTGGAGCTTTAATACAGCCTAGGAAACAGGCAAGGTTGATCTTAGTCCTATGATTGATACTTTAACTCCAATCTCGTTTTTTGAGATAGGGTTTCATCAGGCTGGCCTCAAACTCAGTATTCCTCCTGCCTCAACCTCCCAAAGGTTGGGATTACAGACATATACCACCATATCCAGCTGAATTATCTAACCCAAACAGCATTCTTCCCACTAAATCAAGAGGACTCATTTGTGAACACCATAACAAGGCAGAAAAAAAGTAATAGGAAAAGGCTAGAAAACAGAATTCTAGACACAGAACAACAAACTGGTGTGCAGTTGTTTGGAAACGAGCAATGTGCACCCCAGCTGAGCTCCTGGCAAACTCCCTGGTCCATGGGCTTCCTCCTGCTTCAGTCCAGTTATGCGCTCTGTGAAATACAGACTTTGTTCCACAAAAGGGCAAGTCAATTCATTCAATAAGCTCAAAGTGAACACTAGTGAGCAAGGGAACAGAAGGCATGCAAACTAGCAATTCTGTCAATAAAACAAGGTGTAATGGTGCAGCCCTGTAGGCGGAAGTTTCTGTCCCACCCAGTCCCGCAGCCATTCAGTCCCAAAGAAACACACAGAGGCTTATATTAATTATAAACTATTTGGTCTGTTAGCTCAGGCTTATTACTAACTAGCTCTTACAACTTAAATTAACCTATAATTCTTTTCTATGTTAGCCATGTGGCTTGGTACCTTTACTCAGTGAGGCATTCTCATCTTGCTTCACCTGTGACTGGCTGACGATTGCATCTCTGCCTTTCCTCTTCCCAGAATTCTTAGTCTGGTTGCCCTGCCTATACTTCCTGTCTGGCTACTTCTATAAGTGAAGCATACTCGTCTTGCTTCATCTGCATTTGGCTGGTTGGTGACTGCACAACCAGACGAAGAGAATTCTGGGCAAGGGAAAGACAGAGACTCAATGGCTGTGGGACCAGAGGGGACAGAAAATTCCATCTACACATGCTTACAATCCCAGCACTTAGGAAGTGGAGACAAAGGTATCAGGAGTTCAAAGTCATTGTCAGCTATATAGTTTAAGGTCATTCTGGGCTGTCTCATTAAAAAATAATAAAGAAATATAGTGAAAATAATTAAAGTTGTTCTTCAAATTGAGAACTGGAAGACTCCAGAATTTTCATATAAGCAGCATTTTAAAGATTAATAAAGGAATGTAAGAGTAGAAACAGTATGTTTTTATTTACTGGTGCTAGGAAATCAAACCCAGGGCTTTGGTGCATGCTAGAAGAGCACTTTACCACTGAAAAACCTACCCTTAAGTAGAGAAAGTTTTAAGTGTTAAGCTGAGAAGACAGGGAACTTATCAAGGTTATAGTAGGTTCATCGAATAGGCAGTGTGTACAGAGAGTGCGGAAGGACTCGACGTTTGAGGGGTAGAGGATGATACAGAGCTGTGCTCATGGCAACACAGGGCCTAAGAGCAGCAACAGGCTGGAGGCAGAACAAGAAGTTATCTTTAAAAAGATCAGTAGGAGCTGGGCATGGTGGCACATGCCTTTAGTTCCAGCACTCAGCAAGCTTATCTCTTCCCAACAGCCAGGACTACTCATCCCCCAAAGAATCAGTAGGACATCTGGAGGAATTAGCTCTGCAGACCATACAAGCAACGCATTTCCAGAACAAAAAAAAATGGCAACTGTAGAGGCCAGATCTCCAGTTATAGATGAGAGCATCGTCTAAGAATGATACAGCCCAGTGCAAAGGGACCCACACCCTTCCTGCCCTACTTACTGTTAACTTCTAGGTGTGACCCACGTACTGTTGCTAGTCCTTAGCATTTTTGGAGGTGAAGGAAGCTTTAGGAGGAGCAGAGAGGAAGGAAGTCAGATCACCGGAGGTATGCCCTTAGCGGCGGCTATTGGAATCTCACCTTTTCTTCTGGCTTCCATAGGGTTAGCAGCTTCTTTTGCACATTCTCCCCAACAAGCAGGCCAAGGAACCATGTGCAGAAAGCTAAAAAGTCAAAAGAACCCAAGCCCCTTTCTTCTTACTTTACCCCAGGTTATTTGTCATTTAGTAGAAAACTATAGCCCCAACAAGCACTGAGGAGGCAGATGTAGGTGAATCTCTGATGTCAGCCTGGTCTACAGAGCTAGTTCCAGGACAGCTAGGGCTGTTACACAGAGAAACCCTGTCTCGGAGGAAAAAAAAAATCTTTTGGATTCTATTAGGCAATTTTAGACACATAAAGGACTAATAAACATAATTAACCAAATAGAAAGCTCATAACCCAGCTGGGTGGTGGTGGCACATGCCTTTAATCCCAGCACTTGGGAGGCAGAGGATCTGAGTTTGATGTCAGCCTGTTCTACAGTGAGTTATAGGTCAGGCAGAGCGACAGAGGAACCCTGTCTAAAACAAAAGAGCCAGTGAGTGGTGGCATAAATCTTTAATCCCAGCACTTGGAAGGCAGACGTAGACAGATCTCTGTGAGTTCGAGGCCAGCCTGGTCTACAGAGTTACACAAAGAAACCCTGTCTCAAAAAACCAAGAAAAAAACAAAGGAACAACAACAAAAAAATCCGAAACAAAAAACAAAAGAAAGAATTAACTCCAGCCAAAACAAGCTGCTTGACAGGTTGGAGATTAAGTGTTTGGCCCTGGCGCGCGTGTGCGCGCGCACAAACACACACACACACACACACACATTGCTAGGTAGGGTGACACACACCTTTATAATCCCTACACTTGGTAGACAATGGACATAGTGAGTTCAGTACATCCACGGCTACAAAGGGAAACCATGTCTTAAAAACAAACCCTTACTTTCTGTGTATGAGTGTTTTGTCTGCATGCTTGTCTTTGTACTTCATGCTTGCCTAGTTCGTCCGGAGACAAGAAGAGGGCATCAAATCCCTTGAATAGTTGTTACAAAAGGTTTTAAGCCACCATGTGGGTGTTGAGAACTGGACCTGTGACCTCTGTAAGAGCAGCCAGTGCTCTTAACCTCTGAGCCATTCCTCCAGTGACCCCCATCCCAAGGGTGTTCTCACAAAGAGCCACAGGGCCGCAGCTGACTTGGGCTATATACTTCCTCTCCTCCAGTGACAGTCCTATGTTCCTTAGGAAACATCTGCTCTTTTCATAATATCTAATGCCTCTAAAGCTATACAATTTTGAAATTCAATCAAATCTCAAACACAAGGCACAGGACAGTCTTAACTTTATTGAGATTCTTTTTAATGAAAATGGTTTGCAGTGAACAGAGCAGTCTGTAGGGGAGCAACTTCCCATATGTTGCCCGGTCCATGACCCACAGATTAAGTAGAATCTCATGTACTGATTTATTCCAGATCTCTTCTAGTATTGGTGGTGAAGAGGTGATGGATGGAGTAGGGAATACAATCAAGAGAAGTCAAGAATAAGGCTCAGTCTGGAAAAACCAGACCCTGAAGGGCCTGAACTTCAGCCAGTCGAAGTGTGCGACATCGGTCACCCAGCTGTAGCTAGTCAAGAATAAATTAAACGCTACAGCTTCGTCACCTCAACAGACGGTCACAGAACTCAAGCCAAAGTTTGAGCCTTGTGTGCACGCGGGGCCAGCATTACAGATGCCCCAGTTATGGAGATTCTGAACAGCCCCCTTCATGCTGCTCAACAGGAGACCGAGGGTTTACCCATCAGAAGTCCTCAGGCAGGCTTCATTTACGTTTCTTCTCCTGTGTGCTGGTGAACCAAGAGTCCAAGAGTTTCTTGCTGTAGTACAGTTGCCAGGCATGAACTTGGACTGCCAGTACCAACACCAGGTACATGACGGAGACAGCAGAGAAGCCAAACAGGAAGCGGTAGGCCTTGCCATGGCGGTAGAGTTGCTGTGCTGCAGGAAACATCTCCATGCTGCCGTAAATGAGGGGAGCGATGGAGAAGAGCCCCATGCTGATCATGGACAGCACCAGGTAGCTGATGTTGTTTCGAGGGAAGGAGAGAAGGCCCAAGAGAGAGGGCACAATGCTCAACAAATAAGGGTATTCCCACTGATAGGGCATAGCCACTTGATCATGTGACAAGAGCCTCAGGTGTCCCACACTCATCTTGGCAACCAACAGCAGCCATATGACCAGATGCACGTAGATCAGCTTCTTGATTTCAGACTTGAGCGTTACACTGTAAGGCAGAAGAGAGGGAGAAACAATTTTCATTCAAATTGCTCTGACCACCAACTATATTCCAGGCACCTGTACTGGACACATGGCTACAATCCGAATGACACAGCCTCTAACAGAGGCTGGGCAAAATAAAGTATAAAGTTCAAGTAAATACATATAAGCCCAAGATATCCCAGGGAGGAACCAATTTAGTATGAGATGGACTTCTAGAGCAGGCTATCTAGAGGAAAGAGCTATTCAGCTGAGGTTCTAAGATGAGTGGAGGTGGGCACTCTATGTTTTGCAGAGGCAGAAACACGCAGGCACGAAGGCATAAGCATTTAAGTATTTGTGTTTCAGGAAACCAAGTGGCAAGACACACAGGAGAGGTAGTAACAGACAGCTATGAAGACTGAACTAAAGAACAGTAACGGCACCTGGGAGGCTGAGGCAGGAGGATCTCAAAAGACAAGTTGGCCTGGATCACATACCAAGACACTATCTCAAACCATGACAAGAATTCTGAGCTGTGGTAAGAAAGATGGTTTCGTGCCAGGTGATGGTGGCACAGGCTTTTAATCCCAGCACTCAGGAGGCAGAAGCAGGTGGATCTCTGTGAGTTTGAGCCCAGCTTGGTCTACAAAGTGAGTTCCAGGACAGCCAGTGCTGTTACACAGACAAACCCTGATTTGAAAAACAAACGAGAGAGGGAGGGAGGGAGGGAGGGAGGGAGGGAGGGAGGGAGGGAGGGAGGAAGGAAGGAAGGAGGCTTCCATCACAAAGGCCAGGAGGGGACTGGGCTCCCCATTTCTCCAGCCACAGTCTGCATGTGAAGGAAGCACGTCTCTCTCAGTCTAATCCTCTCAGGTCTCAGCTGTTACCCTTCTCACAGCTTCAAGAGCAAGGTTCCTGCTCACAAAACAAGAGCTTGGTTATGAGGCACCCAGTAGGCAGGGGCCTAAAGTTGAGAAACAAAGGTCCAAAGAGCTTGTCATCCTTCCGTACAGAAAGGGCAAAGACCCAGCAGAAGAATTCAATGGATTTAAAGAAAAAATTTCATTACAGGAAATGTGGGCAATAAGAAGAAAAGGAAAAAAAATCCCTTCTGGCATTCAAGCTCCTTGAAGGTAGGATCCAGTTTGGCTTTTCTGTTTCTCTTTTAAAATGTATCTTCTGTGTCTGCACCACATGCACCCCTGTGCTGCCGGGAGGCCAGAAGTGGGCATCAGAGCCCATGGCACTGGAGTTACAGGTGGCTGGTTGTGAGCTTCCTAACATGGGTACTAGGAACTGAATTTAGACTCTCTGCAAAAACAGCAAATGCTCTTAACAGCTGAGCCAACAAGGGGCTGTCTTCAACCACCGTCAGCAGAGCTAAGAATCTGCAGGAGGCAGGAAGGTAGCTCAGTTCAGCACAACTCAGTACCTGGTGTGGGTGCAAACTTCAGGAGTCTGACCCCAAGTAGTTGAATTTATGAATATTTAAGCACAGCACAATTTGATGAAAAATTTCCTGGTGATAATCTCATGTGCAAAATAAAGCTTAAGATATGATTACATCGAAACTCTTTGTAAAGTATACGTGACATCTTTCATAAAGACAGGTCTATAGGGCAGTGATGATGCCCACTTTTAAATCCAACACTCGGGAGGCAGAGTAAGGCAGAGCTCTAAGTTTGAGGCCAGCCTGGTCTACAGAGCAAGTTCCAGGACAGCCACGGGCTACACAGAGAAACCCTGTCTTGAAAAACCAAAAATAAACAGACAAAGATGTCCTCTATAGATTGACAAACTCATGATGAAAGCCTAGGGCAGGATCTGGTATGATCTCTGCCACATAGCCCAAAGGCTACCAGGCTGTGAACCATGCATGCTGCTAGACTTCTGGGTAGGAAACAGGTTCTACATCTCCTCCCTCTGAAGAGACAGCCCAGTGTTTCACAACCCTGGCTCCCCTGATCCTTAAAAATAAAGCAAAAATAAAAACCAAAACCAAAACCTTTATTGAAAGTATAACCTGGTAAAAAAAAATAAAAGGAAAAAAAAAGGGGGGGGGAAACTTGAAAGCAAATACCAGGTCTGTTTTTGCTCACTGTTAATGTTTCAGTGCCTAAGACAATGCAAGAAAGACAGATGGCCAACAAGGACTCATCAAACCAATAGGGAACGTAGAAAGACCTCCTTACACGGACATGCTGAAACTCGGGCTAGACAGGGACACCTTTTACCACCCACACCCACCCAAGAGACCTACAATTTGGCAGCTGCCATGTGGTATTTTTTGTGCTCCCCCTTTACACTAACGATTTGCTACTTCCTAATGAAAACCTAAAAAGTGTAAGATTTTTCTCCCTCTGAAGATGAGGGAAATGAGGCTCCATTAGTAATGACTTGCCTGGGGGCAGGAGAGATGGCTCAGTGGTTCAGAGCACTGGCTGCTGCTCCTGGAAGCTAGCCTGGACTACATACCAAGACTTTACCTCACCAAATCGCTTCGGAGCTGTGCTGAGAAAGATGGCTTGTCATCCTTCTGGGTTTGGTTCTCAGTACCCACCTCAGCTGGATTCATACACGTCTGTAACTCCAGCCCCCGAGGGATCCAAATTCTTCTCTCTCTCTCTCTCTCTCTCTCACCAAATTCTTCTCTCTCTCTCTCTCTCTCTCTCTCTCTCTCACACACACACACACACACACGTTTTCCTTATTAAAAAAAAATGCGAATTCGTTTTCAGACCAGGTGTATTCCTGAAATCCCAGCACTCGGGAGGCTGTGGAGCGAAGGCCGTGAGTTCGAGGCCAGCCTGAGCTCTACACTGTGGGAACTCGATTTGACAAAGAAAAATGACTTTCCCCAGGACACACAGAGGGGCCAGCAGCATCGATCCACGAGCCTGTGCAGCCAGGATCCCCTCAAAGCATAAGGCAGGCCAAGGCGGGCCACTGGGCTTCCCCGGCCTGTAAACAGACCCGAGGAGGTCGCCGGAGCAGCGGACCCGGTGGCACACGACAGTTGGCGGAGGGAGCGACGCCGTGAGGATCGCTGGCGTCGCTTCCCGGGACCCGAGGGCTCCTCCCAGGGAAGGCCTCGGTGCTCCTGGCTCACCTCATACCTCATCTGGTAGTGCACGGCGACGCGCTCCCGGTGCTGAAAGTCGCTGCCGTCGGTGCCGGCCGCTCGCGGGCCTGCCCGAGACGCCATCGTGCAGAACCGAAGCCCAGGCCGCTGACGCCGACCGTCTGCCTCGCCAACACAGTCAAACCCCCAGCGGACCCCGTTCTCGCCGCCGCTGGACGCTTCCACCACCCGGCGTGGTGAGAACTTCCGGCCTCTCTATCCCGGGAGGACCGACTCTGTGGTTTCTCCTCCGCGCATGCGTCCTTGGTCTTTCTAACCAGTCTTGCTCCTTCCGGAGTAGGACGGCTGAGGAATTAATTTAGTCCTTAGAATTTGCACTTTTACTTGATTATAAAACATTTTAAAAATTACTTATCTCTTTGCATATGTGTGTTTTGTCGATACACACACACATATATGTACATGCACCACGTGTGTCTCTTGTGCCAGGAGAGACTGGAAAAGGATGTAAGGTAGACTATTGTTAGCTACAGTGTGAGTGCTGGGATTTGAACCCAGATCTTTTGGGCTCTTAACCGCCGAGCCTAGACCCTAAGTTCCTATTCTTGAGACAGGGTCTCCTGTGTTGAGGATGGCCTCGAACTCTTGACAGTCTTTTTGCTTCCGTCTCCCAAGGCGTGATTATAGTCTTAAACTCCATGACTGTCTAGATTTAGCATCTTTGACCAATTGTCCAGTGACTGGTTGTGCGCTTACACTTCTTGCAGCTCCGGACAACCATGAGGTTAGGGTCCAGAGCAAAGATGTCATACTCCCGAAGCTTCTGTGTCGAAAGGCGACACTCAGAGGCTTAGGAAGCACAGAAGCAGTTCTCCACTGCAGCGCTATCCATGGTGGCAGGATCTAAACTGAGTGACACCCTGCGGCAGGAGGATGAGGAGTTCCTCCTCCGTTACATAGGGAGTTAAGAGGTCAACCTGGGCTATGTGGGAAACTGTCTTTTAAGGGGGGGGGGGGGGGGCTGGAGAGATGAGTCAGTGGTTAAAAGCACCTGCTGTTCTAGAATTCACTATGTAGGTCAGCCTTGAACTCACAGAGGGCTCGTCACCATGCAGGGCGTGTATATGTCCGAGTACCTGATGCATGCCTGGAACCAGAGTTGGCCAGGAGAGGGTGTCAAATCCTCTGGAACTGGAGTTCCTTTCTGAGCTACCACGTAAGATCCAGGAAAAGAAACAGGGTCCTCTGTAAGAACAAGCTCTCTTAACCACTGATCCCTCTCCAGCCCTCTGGAGTTTGGCGATTAACACGGCAGCTCACACTAGACTGAAATTCCAATTCCAGGCTCTCTGGCACCCTCTTCTGGCCGAGGTGAGTACTGCATACACATAGTGTGCAGTCCTGCATGCGGGCCAAACACCTATGCAAACAAATGGTTGGGCTGGGCATGATAGTGCATGTCTGTAATCCCACCATTTAGAATGCTGAAGCATGAGTTTGAGGTCAGCATAGGCAACACAGAGAGATATCGACTATCATCTACCATCTATCATCTATCTATCTATCTATCATCTATCTATCTCTGCCTGTCTGTCTGTCTGCCTGTCATTTATGTACACATATCTAGTTGCTGTATGGAGAATGGGCTGGACAGGATCAGACTGATATAGATAAAGTCTATATCAGTAGCAGAAGCTAGAAACAACCCAGAGGCTTGAGAGCTGGATAAAGAAGATCTTTGAGTTAAAATATTTCTGAGAAGCTGCAGGAAGAAATAGTAAAGATGGTGTTTCTTACTGATCTGGAAAATTTTTTCCAACATGTATTAACTCAAAACAAAAATGTGCTGGGTGGTGGTGGCTCACACCTTTAATCCCAGCATTTGGGAGGCAGAGGCAGGTGGATCTCTGTGAGTTCAAGGCCAGCCTGGTCTACAGAACGAGTTCCAGGACAGCCACGGCTGTTACACAGAGGAACCCAGTCTCCCCCCACCCTCTCAAAAAAGCCAAATAATGCAAACTCCTTAAAAACAGGTGTCAGGGGCTAGGGAGATGGCCCAACTGTTAAGAACGCTGGCGGTTCTCGCAGAGGAGCCGCGTGCAATTCCCATTGCTCGCGTGGCAGCTCACAACCACCTATGACTGATCTGGAAGCTTCTAGCACCAGACATGCATCTGGTGCACAGATATACATGCTGGACTAGCCTGGTCTACATAGTGAATTCCAGGACAGACAGAGCTGCATAGTGAGACCCTATCTCAACAAAACAAGACAACCTTGATCCTTTGTAAGAACAGTAGGTGCTCTTAACCACTGAGCCATTTCTCCAGCCCTCTATTATTTTTGGGGGGGGGTCACAGTCCTGGTTAAATTGCAGTTCTATTTCTGTGATACTATCCTTTCATATGTTCAAAGACAATTTCTCGGGCTGGGCGGTGGTGGCGCATGCCTTTAATCCCAGCACTCGGGAGGCAGAGGCAGGCGGATCTCTGTGAGTTCGAGACCAGCATGGTCTACAAGAGCTAGTTCCAGGACAGGCTCCAAAACCACAGAGAAACCCTGTCTCGAAAAAGCAAAAAAGCAAAAAAAAAAAAAAAAAAAAAAAAAAAGCAAACAAACAACAAGAAAAAATAATTTCTCTTGATGCTGTCCAAGAGGCCCCAATTCCTGTTTGATTCTCTCTAGCCTCTCAAATGTTGGGACTCAGGCATGTGTCACTGTGCCTGGCTTCTTGTGTCTTTGATTTTGCTCAGAGTATCACAAGGTACGCATGAAGAATGTGTGTGTGCGAGTGTGCGTGTGTGCATGTGCATGTGTATGTGTGTGTGGGTACCTGTGGAAACCAGAAGAGGCTGAGCTGGAGCCTCCTCAGTGGGAGCTGAGACCCCAACTCCAGCTCTGTGGAAGGAAACCAGTCGCTTAGCCATCTCTCCTGCCCCCATGAAGAATAGTTGAATGCTTATCTAGCATTTTTATTTTTTTAAAGGATTTATTAGGGCCGGGCCATGGTGGTACACACCTTTAGTCCCAGCACTCAGGAGGCAGAGGCAGGTGGATCTCTGAGTTTGAGGCCAATCTGGTCTACAGAGTTACAGAGTGAGTTCCAGGATAGCCAGGGTTACACAGAGAAACCCTGTCTCAAAAACAAACAAAAACAAAAGTTTATTCTAGGAGTGTTTCACCTGCATGAATGTATGTGCACCATGTGGGTGCATGGTGCCCCAAGAGGACATCAGACCCCTGGAACCAGAATTATAGATGGCTGTGAACCACCATGTGGTCGTGGGAACCGAACCCAGATGCTCTGCGAAGCAACAGTGCTCTAACTGCTGAGCTGTCTTTCCAGCCTGTCAAACTTCTTTCTTTTTTTCTTCCTTCTTTCCTTCTTTCTTTCTTTCCTTCCTTTCTTTCTTTCCTTCCTTTCTTCCTTCTTTTTCTTTTTTCTTTTTTGTAGAGAGACAGGGTCTCTCTATATAACCATGGCTGGTGACCTGGAACTTACTATGTAGACCAGGCTGACCTCAAACTCACAGAGATCCTTCTGCCTCTGTCTTCCAAGTGTTGGGATTAAGGGCCCTTTTTGCCCTCTCAGTTCTGAGTCATCACCACAGTATTTCTCTGTTCTAAAGTGTCTTGGAAGGGTCTCACACAGTGCATGACTTGAGAGCCCTTCAAATGTGAATTCCAAAGGCAGGGACCAGAACTGAGTCCTCTGTGCCCCTTAATTCTAGTGAGATCCAAGGGCCTTTTCCAAAGTCCGTGAAGAACCCCCTCAGGCAGGCACCTCACTGCATTGGGCTGGTTTCTTTCTGCTGCTTTTTCTTTCTGTTATTCCAGTGATAAACTCAGTGTGTCAGCCGACTTGAGTCACCCTCGGGCCTATCTATCCAGAAACATCAATCCAGTACACATAGAATGTTTGGGGCGTGGATGTAGAAGGGAGGGACCTGACCCTTTCCCTAGAACTTCCTTGCGGAACTGCTTCCCTTGGACGTTCCCCAGCTCTGCCATCTGCTGGAAAGTTGAGATATTTTTGTGTTTTACTCTCAGATTTGTTGAATCACATGTTTTCTTTCTTTCTCTTTCTTTCTTTCTTTCTTTCTTTCTTTCTTTCTTTCTTTCTTTCTTTCTAGACAGGGTCTCACGTAACCCAGGCAAGCCCTGAACTTACTTTCTATTTAGATGAGATGGCCTTAAACTCCCTATCCTCTGGCCTCTTCCACCTCCGAAGTGAGGGAATAAAAGGCCTTTGAGCTCTGATGGTTTCTCTCTACTTCCCCTCAGGACATCAGATTATCTGCTTTACCTCTCCAGTTCTCCAGACATTGGTTACCACACAGACATTGGTTTTGTTCTTGTTTGTAGGTTTTTTTTTTAAAAAAAATTATACTCATTTATTCTCTCTCTCTCTCTCTCTCTCTCTCTCTCTCACACACACACACACACACACACACACACACACACATGTGGTCAGGTGACTCAGGCAAGTCAATTCTTTCCATTACATAGCTCCCAAGGACTGAACTCAGGGCATCAGTATCTGCTGAGCCATTTTGACGGCCCTTGAGTTTTTTGAAAGTCAGGGTCTTACTCTATAGTCCACAACTCTCTATGCAGAGCGGAGAGACCTGAACCCAAAGCGATGGGCTTGCCTCTGCCACTAAAGGGCTGGGACCCAGGTCAGAGCCAAGCCGACCTGGGTCCCAGCCCCTGCACCCAGCTGCACCGTTTTATGTTTTCCCCCCTTCTTCCCAGTGCATTATTTGAAAGCAAACAAAACAAAACAACAAACAGAAGACGTTTCCGCTGTTGTTTTGTGAAGCCCCTTTTCTGGTTTTTCTAGACAAGGTATATCTCTCTATGTAGCACTGGCTGTCCTGGTACTCCCTCTGTAGACCAGGCTAGCCCTCCTGCCTCCCGAGTGCTGGGACTAAAGCGCCTGTGCCACCACCACCACCAGCAGGCAGGACCTCTCTGTGTGTGGCCAAGGCTGACGCTGCCTAGGGATCTCCAGTCTCCAGCGCGTGCGTCTCCGTTCCAGCTCCTCCCGAGTGGCCTAAAGCTGTCTTGCTTTCTGCCGCTTTATCAGGGTGACAGGCTGCGAGCGCTCAATGAATGAATGTTGCCTCTTCCCGGGACTGCCTTAGCTCTAAATAACGGTGTACCAAGGGAGCCAGTGAGTCCTCCCCTGCACCTGCAGAGGCCTGCCAGGTGACCAAAGGACAGAGAAAAGCTGGGCATCTCTGAGTTCATGCTGCATC